ATATATAAAAGAGAGAGAGAAAGAGAAATCCCAAATCTTTCTGCCTAGTATTAATGCACACAGTAAGGCTTCTGGAAGCATCTACATGCTGCTGTAGGACCCACATGTCTTTTCAAAAGGAACCTAGAAATCTTAGATTCACTGTGGTGTGCAGGTAGATCCTTAAATAAATTAACCATTCTTCAAAACAGTGCTGAGGTCTTACAGACATGTTTCACTCTGGCTGAATTTGCCCCTGTAATCTAGGTCCTTGCATTAACAGCAGAGGGAGAAGCGTACGTAGACCATTACCGTTTTAGTAATTCCCCAGCAGGGTCCATTGCATCAGACGTTACAAAGGAAACAACTTTATATAGTTGGCGCAACCAGCCTGTCTTGCTCCTAACTCCCCACTTGTGGCCAGAGAATATAGGCAGCTCGTTGGTTCTCGGGGCTGTGTTACACTGGCATGTGAGGTGTGTCTAAACTCTTTCTTTATTCTGCAGGAGCTCTCCTTAGCTCTGAGATGTTTGTCATCCTCATGCTCTACCTCTGGCTTGGGATCGGACTGGCCTGCGCTGGCTTCTGCTGCCACCAGATGCTGCTGATCCTGCGTGGGCAGACGCGGTACCAGGTGCGGAAGGGGATGGTGGTAAGACCCCGGCCCTGGAGGGAGAACCTGCAAGAGGTCTTTGGCAAGAGGTGGCTGCTAGGACTTCTCATCCCTGTGCTGAACGTGGGAAGTGACTACTGTAGGCAGAAAGAGAAATAAAATCCCCAGGCGTGCGTGCGCATCCCATGCACACAACATGTCCCCTGTTCTCTCCCACTGTCTCCTGGATCACTAAAGAGCTGGGCTACTCCATCTCTAGGGCTTGCAGCCTCTGTGGGAGGAAAGGACTGGCTATCGAACAGAATAAATTTAGCATATTAACAAGGAGATCACAAACCATGTAGATGAAGAGATACTGCAGCTTAGTAGTCACATCACTGCACCTGCGTAGGTGGCAACAGTCTTTGAACTAGCAGAAAAATTAGTCAGACCCTCCCGTAGCTTCCTGCCTGAGTCCTCCAGCCCCCAGCCCTATTAGCCACCCTATATAGTCCCTAACGAACCGCAGCAGGAGCTTTCAGAGAGCCTGGGCTGTTGTGGTAGACTGCAAAAACACGTGTCTGGTCCTTTGGAGGGTTTTGCAGGGTGCTTTTTTGGCTCTTACACACTTGAGGTAACTTCACAGTACTGAGAAGCCTTTAATGACAGAACTGCAATGCAATCAAGCTGCCCTAGGAGCAGGCTATGCACATGGCTAATGTGGCAGGTAAACCTTCTCTCCACAGGCTAGAAAATTGGGAAGAAAACAAAGAGAAATTCAGATTTTCTCATTTCTGTTCTTGATCTGCTCCCTATGCAATGATATGTCAGGACTCCAGCTCTGCTACTTATTTTCAGCAGTCCTTTGCCCAATGACACAGTCCAAGCAAAGCTGCCCTTCTGACAGGAAGCGGCAAGCAGATAAATCATGGTCAGATGGAGGCACAAGGAGAGAAAACTGCAAAGGTGGATGAAAAGGCTGTGTTTGAGAAGCTGTGTGATGAGGCAGGCTACGCATGCCTGTGAGAGAGAGAGGGAAGTGTGGACACACAGCGAGCTGTCAGGAGGGTGCCAAGAGCCCTGCTGATATGTCTGAGCCCTGATGCATCACCCTCTCGCAGGGGGCACCTGCACCATTAGTGCTGTGAAGAGTTCAAAATCCCAGAAGACAGGGAGGTTTTCCAGCTGGTCAGGACACGTCACTTTGCACTAAAACAAACAAAAAAATGTTTACCTCGGACATTGCTGCCACACCGTAGTTATAGGGTCTCCAGGGCAATTCCCTCTCGTGTTGCTGCAGAGGGGTAAATTCATCCATGTTATAACTCCATTAAGGAGGTTAATGGAATTGCTACAGGGATTAATCAGCCTAATGTGTCAGTTGTTTTCTAGCTGCAGCAACAGCCCATGAGATCAGTGCTGAGATCCTATGCTAATAGGTGCCTTAAGAAAGGATACCATGACATCTCTACCAGGATCACAGCACTGGATTCCCCAGCAGCTGCAACAAGGAGCCTCCATTTTGGCAAACTGCATCAGCTTATGCGGGCTGGATAGGAATTCACTGCTTCTCTTTAATAGGCTGGGGAGTATGCTGACAAGCCGTGAAAAACATTATTTCTTCCTCAGAAACGCTCTCAGTGCGTCCCAGGTAGGGGAATGCACCTGCTTTCATCCTTGCGTTTCTCATGAGCCAGAACAGACGCACTCATTGCTACAGGCTTTGTAACTGTCCTTCACTGCTTCACACTTGTATACTTGTTTGGATCAATAACAAACAAAGTTTATTGTGATGAGCAGAGTAACCATGCAAATATACCGGAAAAACCCTTAGCTGGATAATTAAAACACGTAGGATATATGTCCTTTCACACTGTGTGTGTTCGCATGAACGTACTGCTGTTCCCATGTGTAATACGCTGTATTTTCACTAACAGTGAACAATAAAAAGTGTTCTGTTTTTTTACATGACCTGTATTGTGCTTTCTGACAGTTCATTAGCTGTCTCTGTACATTTGTTACAGCATACACACGGACGTGTTGAAGGAAAAAGTTAGGATTTGTTTATTGGCTTTGCCAATAATTCATCATATGATTTTGGACAAGTCCTTTCACCCTTCCTGCTTTAATGTAATGACCAATCTAAAAATGCACCTAATAACCAACTTGCAGACCCATTCTAATTTCTATTTATAAGTTACACTATCAACCTCAACTGAAAGCTACAGGAAAATTAAGCTATTATCATTGCCCACAAACAGCATCTCGACGTAAATTATTCCTTACCAGCATGATGGCATCAAGGTGAGCAGACAGTCACCTTGTCACTGGAACCAGAGCCAGTGGCTTGTGCCGTACACCTCGCCTTGGAAGGATTCCCAGGATTATTCTTATTGCACAGACTGGTTGATCCAACTTCTTCTTTTTCATATATTTCTAAAGGCAACAGGCTCCCAACATTTCAGCCAGCAGCTTTCTCATGTCAGCAGAGCTTATCGTTTGACACCCTTGCCCTCTGCTTTTGGCGTTGATTGACACTGCAGTCCTGGGCAGCTTGTGGTACTAGGCACCTGCTGCCACGTTGCCTCAGGCTGTAAGCTCTTCGGGGCCGCACGCTGAGAAGGGCACAACCAACTCAGAGTTTCGGTGGGCTACTCTGCAAGGACAGTCCCCGGGCAGCACAACAGGATTAGTTCTCCATGAAGCCTGTTGCCACTTCACACCAGGGTTGGATCACGTCTGGCCCCTGCGTCAGGGTCACAGCTGCCTGCCCTCGCTGCGAAGTCTCAGACCTTGCTGAAGCACAGAGAGAACCTAGTTTGAGTAACTGCAGCACAGTTCCACGCAATTATTCTTTCTGTCAGACACCTGTGTTCCTGGCTGTAAATCGCTGCATCACCATTTTATGCAGCTAAACGGTTCCTTTGCAGCAAACTACTGGATTTCAGCAGTAGTAGTGAGACTTTCAGATGGATACAGCCTTTACAGTTATGATCCTCTGGGATGAAAAGAGCTATAAAAACATAACATTAGACTGACCCTGTATATTGGCTTATTTCTTGGCTCATTCCCAAGTGTGTGGACTGCCCTGTTTGGGGTAGAGTAGTGATTCTGCAGGAACAGTTGAGAGTAGCTCTTTAATTATCCAGCTGCCCTGACATCCCATGTTATACCTCTGCAACCACTTACAGAAATCCTTGGCGAGAAAATGTAACAGGGCTCAACAGCTGTGAACAGAACCTTTGCTCTTAGCTATGATTTAGTAAATGAAGGCTGAGGTCAATGGCAATGTCACAAATTCTGAATCTGTTCAATGACACTAAAGTTTTATAAGGATAAATAATAAAAGCTTCTCATTTTCTGTGCTTAGAGAGCCATTACTTATTATTTGCATTTTATTACATAGCAGCTGCAATAGCAAATATATTTTGGAACACGATTTCTTGTGACAATGTTTAAATACTTACAGACATTTTAAAAATAAAACATTTAGGGCTTCTCTTCAGATGAACATAATTTCTTCTCTGGTAATGCTAGTGCGTGAAGTAAAAGCTCCCTGTTGCTTAAGACCTTGCGCAGGAACCATAGACACTTGCTTCGTGGTTTGTCTATTTTAAGTATGGCTACCTGAAAAACTGGTGCCACCTCTAAGGTCTCAGAAGTCTTCTCAATGACAGTATAGAGCAAATTAGGGGATGCAGCTGTGAAGTAAACCAGAAGTCTGTTCTTATGTTTAGTAAGAATCTCATACAAAATAAGAAGTAGATGGTTTTCCTCTTCATACTACACTGTTGGGCAGCCCTCAAGGCCTGCATGCAAAAGGTCTTCATTGGATATCCTCAGAGGACATAGAGTTAAAACGTGAAGAGTCTCAAGTAATAAGGCACAGGGAGCATATGAGAAAAGATGATGTGAAATAGCATTTATCTTGTTTAAGAAATAGCCAACTCAAGAGAGATGATCATGGTTTAAAAATACTTGCAAGGAGACAGAATAAATTAATGAGGAGACTCATTAACTGTAAGGAGATAGTTGGAGGAGGACAGGCAGTACTGAACTGAGAGAAAGAAAAGCTGAGGTCAGAGCTTAGGGCATCTATCTTTAAAGCAGTCAGAAGAAAGCAATCAGAGAAAGTGGCCCCAGTGAGAGCAGGAGTGATTTGACTTTGGTAGGGATGATGCACTGAGAGCCATCAGGCGGTATGACAACAGAATTCGACTTATCTTCATTGATTGTTGACTGAATGGACACAAAGAAAGCCCAGACTGAGAAAACTCATTGCTAATCACTTTCTGCACAAAAAACCCTCAAAGCCCCAGCAGAGCCAAAAGGGTTTTTCTCTCTTGAATTGCAAATGATGCTATGAGCAGGAGGAGCATGGGTAGAAGTCGTAAGCAGCAACAGCAGAGTCTATATAGTTCTCTTCGAGTTATTTAAAGACTAGCCAGAACTATCATGGTTGGAGTAAAGCCATGACCTACTTTTTCAATATAAATAAATAAAGGGAGAAGAAAATTTAAAGCATATGTGGAGTCTCTGTGCCCTGGTAGATATTTAAATCAATAGAAACCCAGTGTCAGACAACTGATATTAACAAACAGTAAGATGTTCTCTCATAACTACATGTCCACGTGTGGGTCGTCTACTTTTCCAGCTCTTTTCCAGAAAGCCAGGGGAATAAAGAGACCTTGGAGATTACACTAAAAGTCAGCAAACATGGACCAATTAGTGCTTCAGTCTTCTTACAGAGCCGTCCAGTCAGCAGCCTTGTCTTCATTAGACCAAAGAGGTTTCAGCATTGGTTGTCCTACTGAATCTAACTGGCAAGTGATGTCAGAGCTCAGGCAGGCCAGTCCCATGTCCCTTAAGGCTTTTTGGAGCCAGCATTTTCTAGTCTCCCCAGATGTCTATCTTTACTACCAATCATTCCTAGATTCACGTGATTATTATGCCTGACTGGAAAATTTCTATTAGATGTCAGGTCAGTCTTTTAGCTGCTTGTGTTGGATAAGAAGAGATGAAGACACAAAGCTATGTATCATCAGACTGTTCGAAATAATGATAGATTGGTTTGCCATTGCTGTATGCTTAAGAATCTTATATATTCACTGGGCAATGGGGTTAACACAGTGGACCCACATGAGAGTGCCCTAGGAGTTAACAAGCAACTGCTGAATGCAGCCTTGTCACAGAGGCTGTTATCAAAGAATGATGTTATCATCCAGAACTGCTTGAGACCACAGATAAGCTTATGGTCAGTGACAGAAAAACCAGGAGACAGATCCAGCATCATCGGCCAGGAGTCCTGATGTTTTATGATTGCTGGGAGGAAACTGTTGACCAGTACAACATAAGCAATGTTTGTAGGTCTAAATATGAAC